TTGACAAAATCCAGAAGCAAAATGCAAATGTAATATTTCCCATTGATGTTCTATATTGTGCAGGTGAATAATTTCTCCCCCAGCTTTCAATACCTTCAAAAGGTTGTCTGTATTTTGCACCCACTGAATGGACATGGATATATTTCAAATGTTATTGCAAAATCTTACAAAATACTGTATATATTCAAAGAAGAATCTAATCCTTATAATTCTACATTACACTGTCTTTTTTTTTTTTAAGTTCATTTAATTCATTGGCTTCCTAAGTGAACAGTTCTTTGCTTGTCTGAGAATTTATAAGATATACTCACATTTTATAATTCTTCAGTCTTGGAGCACTAAAATAGGGAAAGATCTTAGTCCAGAATGACCAAGCTAGGTGTCTCAGGATCCGTGTGTCCATGTATTTCCCTTGACCAAGGCTCACTTGAAGCCTCTTTGAAAATTGCTATTAAATGGGAGGTTGTGCTCTGGCTCTGATGCAAAGACTAAAAGGTGACTGTGAGCATGTGCGGATATGAAGATAGCAGCTCTCTCTGACTCCTTCCGAGAAATGCTTCTTTCCCTGAGACCTGGAAAAGGCAGCTAAGAGAAAATAGTATTTGCTTTAAGGAGCTGCACTGATGTCCCTGAGGGACTCTATTTGGGATTCTTAGCTAGAAAAAAAAAAAGCAGGTCTCTCATGTTACTTCTCCACCACCATATTCAGCTAAAGACTGTAGAATCCAGATAGAAACTTCAGAGAAAATTCTATCAGAGATATTGAGCAAATCCACATGTCCCTTCTTGAGTGTAAATCTTTCTTCTTTATTGAAAAACTTCAAGATTGGCGAATAGCACTTCCTGATCTCAAACGATATATACTGTGCCTTACTTCTACTGAAAACACCCTTTACCTAACCCAAAACATAGTTTGGTGGATCATTGGTCTAAGATACATTCCACTAATGAGCCATGGATCATTGTATCCTCCCAAAGCTTATCTTCAAAGTTATTTTGTTCCTTTGATATGATAGATGTGTCACTCCAGGGCAAACAATTTCAGATATACAGTTGTAAATATTGTTCTTCAGAATATCCTTTGGGGCAATACCTATACATACAAAGCAATATGTAATATATGATAATATTAGCTGCTCATTACAGGTTCCCCAAACCCCCATGTGATATGATGAAGCACCTGACTAATTTTCCATTTTGTTTTAAGTCTAAAGAAAGAGGTTGCATTACCTCAATAACTTTGAGTTCAAAATATTTAAGAAGGTCATATCTGGCTCCTATTTACAATACATGAGAGGCCACCAGAACATCTCAGAGCTCTAAGATTATCTGGGAAGTTTAAAACAAAATAAAAATCCTCAAAGAAAGCAATATCAAATCACTGCCCTGTTTTAGCCAGGAAACTACATGGATGTCTCCAAAAATTTGGCAGGATCAAGCTCAACTGGAAGGAGTTTTTGCTAATTTATATTCATCATTTCATGTGCTCCTGAGGAAGCTACTGAAGTTGTGAAAGAAATAGCACTGTCTTCTTGAGAAGTTTGGAACTTGGTGCTTAATGACTATCTCTTGGTCATGGTTGGGGGGGCCATCTGGCATTCAGTCCTACAAAGAGTTTTGGTAATATGAAACTCAGCGTAGAGAGAGAGGTCCACCAGAAATCGTCAACAAAGACTTTAGACTTTCTACATTCATTTAACTCTACTGTTTGTACGCACACAATAAACTATTGATTTTATGGGTATGTGATTTGTGAAAACAGCAACCTGGCATTGGTGAATTCCTGGGGAAAGCTTGTCTCCACACAACTCTTGTAACCCACCCCTCCTTGCCTTTCAGTAACTTTTGCTTTCTTCCGAATGGCCACTGGGGGCTTCCATTCAGGGTTCCAGCCAGTCATCTAGGCAACACCAGTCCATTCCATCTCTCTCCCACACAGTCAGAAATCCGTAGTCATGAACACGCTTGGGCCTACCTGGACAATTCTCTCCCTTCTCTCCCTTCTCTTCCTTCCCCACTTTTTAAAACCTTTCTGTGTACATTAGGCATGTAGGTATTCCTACAAATATTCAGCTTTCCCTGACCCTGTTCCTTATCTATTATTATTCAGCTGTTCCTAAGGCAACTGAGAAGCAACATTCACCATGTTTCTGTGGTGCTTGAAGATGGCAGTCTCTGATTGAGGTTATCTTACAAGATCTTCTCTGACAGACAAAAATTTGTAGGTGCAGGTAGTCCCACAGATGCCCAGGACCTGAACCATGGAGGGCTTTAAAGATGACAACAACCTGCACCTGGGAGCCAAGTGGTAGCCAATGCAGCTCTGAGTTTCATGGTGTGCCATGAAGTGTACCCATAATTACTTGAACAGCTGCATCCTGGAACATGTGTAGTTCCTGACAGCTCTTCAAGGGGAGCCCAATCCAGAGAACATTGCAGCAGTTGAATCAGGAGGTGACTAAGGCATGTATGACATTGAGTAATGCCTTCCATTTCAGGAAATGTCGCAATTGATGCACAAGATAGAGCAAAAGCCCTTTTGGCCATAGCTGCCAAGTGCTCCTTAAGTAGGAGCTATGAGTCCAAGAGGTCCTCCAAATTGCAAACCACCTCCATTCAGGGAAATGCCACCTCATCCAGAGCTCCTGGTAGAATCTCACTAGAATTGAGAGGCCTTCAAACCCAAAGCCATTCCAATTTGCCAGGATTGAGCCTTAACCTATTCCTCCCTTCAAGTCCCAGACAGATTCTGGACACCACAACAGCACATTGAGAGCCTCACTTATTTGCCAGAAGCTGAGATGTACAGTTGGGTATCAGGAGCATGCTTGTTGGAGGTTGTAGTACTCTGCATATGTATCTCAGCAGTCTTGAAAACGGGAATCCGACTTCAGCAGAATTAAGGAAGCAAGTTTTATTGCTCTAACAGAAAGAAGGTTTATTTCCAGGAAATACGTTATAAGGGTAGGCAAAGCCTAGCATGTAGCCAGCTACATCC